AATGAGTAAAATAATTCAGGTGTACAACATTATTATTATTCTGTGTTAGCCACATAATATATAAATATAGACTGGAATTTTAACTAGGGAAAATGATTTTTTTGAGGTGAGGTGAGATTAATTCAATAGGGTTGTATCTCTGAAGGAGCAGAGAGAATCCTCCAACAAACATTCTGTCATTGCCAAATTGTGCCTTAGGCACTATATTGAACTGAAAAAATAGATCGCTTTTGGCAAGCAAAGTTGCAAAGCAATCACCAGTACGATCACAAACAAAACCCATTCACACTCTGAAGTTACACAGCCCTTCACCAACATCTCAATGCATGTTACGGAGCAAGCGCATTCCCTCCTTCTTGTAGCAAGTGGCACGGAAGACCTGCCCAAATTCCCCCATCTCCGCATCAACGCATTCGTTTTTAAGCAGAATCCATATTTCCCAAACTTGATACGCATTCTCAGGACTCTACAGAAACAACTGTCACCTATCGTATTACATTAACTTGACATACATTATAGTTGACTTATATAGATGTGAGAAATCCAGTTTGCAAAGATTACAAATGTATTAAGCTGCCAGTTAACAGTTCCTATATCTACACATGACGATGCAAGTTAGTGGTGTCATAAAGGCACTTGTCTCTCACAGACATTACTGTCTTCTCTAATCGTTCAAAAATACATCTAAAAATATTTAACATCTGAAATGGTTTTTACTCCTTAAAGTGGTGTAAACCATCACCTATAGAACAATAATTCATGAACTTAACATGAAAGAGCGGTGCAAAGTGTCCATAATTAAATATATCTCTACAATTAATTCATTTTAATGCCATGCTCTCAAAAAAACGCCAAAATCATGCTATAGTAGAAATGTGATTGGCACTAGCAGCCTCAAAAAAAAAAAGGTAGCTGCAGACAATAGTACAAGCAAGCTTATTTACAAAGTTACTGAAACAATGAAGTGATGAGTTGCAAGGAGAGACGTTTGCCCCAAGTCTTTTCCAAAACATGCTTGAAGCCACATCTGACCAGTATGAAATATACAACATGCATTTACATCTTTATAGCTAGCTACCTAATTTTACAAAAATAATTCCAAAATGCGCGTTCACTTCAAAGTGAATTCTGTCTCTGTTTTCACCTAATGTGAAAAGACAAGTCAAAAGCAAATCTCACAGCAGAGTTTAAAAAGACACCTAAGCAGTCACTAAATAAAGTTCAGTGTAGTTTTCAGGGGTTTTGGGATGGCAGTGTGAAATCCTCCAAATCCCATTTATCTGGTCAGTATATACGCATAGGTTTTCCTCTCCAAGTTTTAGTACCTTAAAGCAGCAATTTGAAAGAGTTTCCACTGACCTGTTTTTGCAAATGAGAGGGCTCGGGTATTACAAAAAAATAGACATAATTGGCTTTGCCTATGTAAATGGTAAATTGCAGTTGGCATTATAGCTCCATTAACTGAGAAATCTAAACGCCCAGAAAGGTGTGACGGATGGTATAAATCAAGGACAACCCAAAAGCCAGCAGGGTTTTTGCAGTTAATACTTTCTGTTGTAACAACACGTTAAGAGCATATCCAGACTGCTATGAAGTTGCTGGATGGAGTCTCATGCTTGAATACTTCTATAAATAGTCCAGTCTTCTTTAAATAGTTTTGCCAGTACTGTACCATAAGGAAGTTTCTGCATCTCTGAAAGTTCTGCGTTCACTGAACATTGCACAAGGTTATTAAAACAAACACAGGAAAACAAAAAAAAGAAGAAGCCATTTGATCAAGTATTAAGCTATTCCTTCAGAACATCACACTTCTTTGCTTCTAGCAGTGACCAGAATTGCTGACGGTGTACTGACAGTTGCCATGGCAAGTGGGTGACTGCGTGGGATAGCAGACATATAGCCAAGTCAACTGCTTACGCAATCTCAGCAAGCACAGAACACACCACTTTTCTTATGTGCTGTATAAAGTGCCAAAGAAAAAAACGCTCTTTTATGTTAGGCCACGGCTGTTTCAGTACTCCCATTCATCTGTTTTCATGTCCAGATAGTAAAGAATATTCTGCGCAAGCTTTACTGCTTGCTTTCTGGCGGCCTTACACCGCTCGTCACCTTGTGGATCAACGGCATCGAGTGCGAGCAGTTGTTTCGTGAGAAGTTCTTCCAACCTCATGTAGTTTTTATCCGTTCTGTTTCCATCAAATGAAATCACCTCCTGCT